CGCTTAGAAAATATTAAGTTTCGCTTTATGGTATAATTTCATTAACAAATAAGGATTTGAGAATTCTAATAATGGCAATAATCCCTAGAGTCAATTTAGAGGTTAACTATTCTCTGGGTTAACTGAAAAAAAAAAAATAAATGTTCTGGAGTCAAAGAGTATTTTATTTATAAAATTACCCAGAACATCACAATTAAATAATTTTGTATTTTAATTAGAGAGAATCTAAGGAACGTTTTTTTTGAGTTTACTGTTTTTGAGGAACGTTTTTTTTGAGTTTACGGTATTTTGAGTTTACTGAAGAAGTTTAAGGTACTAGAAAAAAACATTTTCCCCCAACTCAACCTTTTTACCACCCCTTAAATGATATTGCAATTCAATTTTAAGACCTTAATATGAAATTTTTTCAAAATATTCGAATTTATTCATGAACTTAAGTCGGTCAAAATAAAGCATGGAAGTTGGTATTATATGAAATGGTTTATTATAAAATATAAATGTATGATAAATAAATAAATCAAAACTGTAGTCCCTCTGGTATTCTAGTGACTGCGAATCAGTGGGTGGCTGGTGAAAACTGTTATTGATAGAGTTGTGTAGGGTATACTACATGGGCATACCTACACCTACCTATAAACAAAAAATGTGTGAGTAATGAATTTAACACCGTCAAATTAAAGATTGGGTAAAACACATAAGCATATTATTATTTAAACAATATTTTTTATTAAAATAAAGTGAATATAATTTAAATGTTAATAATCTTATTTTAATTATTAAGTCTAGGAAAGAAATGTGTCTTTTCCATTTTAAAAAAGGTACATACCAAGTACATACCTTTTTGTTCTATTGTAACTATGGTAACTAACTAGACACCATTTTGCCACCGTTGCTGCTCGAACTACTAGAAATCACCTTCTTGGCAATAATCTGTAAAAATATATAGATACAAATTTACGTTACACATTATTCATTACGAATTAAAATTATAAATTCATTTTAAATTATTTAGAGCCAACTACTGTCAAAACTATAAGACCGAGACAGAGACCGAGGTACTTGTTTTTACTTACCGCTAATATATTCCACTAGTTATTATTTTCACATCTATATCTTCATATAATTGTGGATCCAATCGGAGTTGGATTATCCAGCTGCCAGTACTTGTCCTCCACTTTGAGAGGATCTGAAAGTTATTTTTATTACAAATTAATTAATTACCTTGCACTTAAATACATGCTAATCAAGTTATAAGTAAACCGAAACATTATGGATACTGAATATTTTCTTTTTTTTAATACATAACTACAAAAGATAAGCACAAATGAAATTTCCTACCTTCTGGCTTCCTTTTTAAATAATCCTTCCATTTTCAATTCACAATAATTCACTCCGTTCAGTAACGAACAATAATTCACTCTGTCTGATATACTTACGAAAATATGAGAATACTGGCAACAGTGTTTTTTACTTTCCGAAGACTTTCGGGCGCAATCGTAATATTAGGAAAAAGTAGAATTAGGAAATTCTTGGCGCTCCCGTGTGTACTTGCACCATTAGTTAAGTGGACCGGTCGAAGTCGATTCAGTTCACGTTCTTCTTTATACCGCTACTAATTTTAGCTATTATATTAATGATGTTTAATTGGCATTAAATCAAGTAAGGGATATATTAATGTCAAATTAAAATAATTTGGTATTTAAAGATTGAAAATGCCAAATTTTTACAAACTTCTTAAAATAGATTTATGTAAACTAAACCTTACCTTTTTAACGATATTCTGAAAATATCATTAATCAGGTAAACATCACTGATTTAATTAGCATTCATATGTAAATCAGTCTCGTTATCAAGTTCTTTTTATACCACAGAGTGTGTAAAAAGTGTTATGATAATATTTCGACATGGAACGTGATATTTAATTTTGTTTTGGTTTTTTTAATGGTTTTATTGACTGGGAATTTAATCTGCACTAGTTTTCATCACATGAGAAATAACCGATAATTAACACATTTAACTGACGCCCTTCTCTACACGAGATTTTTAAAACTATAGTTTACATTATTTCTTGAAAATTTTATTTTAAATTGATAATTAGTGTGATAAATCTAAAAACTATTTTATTTCTTTAAGTATTTTTATAAAAAAAAAAAAAGTTTTGTTTTATTTCCTGCTAGTTTTCACGACTTGCGACCATGTTTACTAAACACAACGTTGGATTAGTTACAAAAATAGTTAGCTCCCTACCTTGGGTATTAAATAAATTTAAACGTTTTTATAACGTTGTGCCGACGTTGGACTAGTACTACAGCAAAGTAGAAGCTTCGGCGACGTCGAATAAACGTTGTCTTCTAACCTTTTTTGCTTAAGTAATCTTAGGTGATTCGGACAACGTAGTTACAACGTTGGACAATATATAGTTTTCCGACGTCAGTTTCAGGACCTATTCCAACGTTATGCAAACGTCGTTTGTTTTACTAATTCCAACGTTGTTTAGATTTCCTTATTCTTACGTTGGTAGGACGTCGAGTCACTACCTTTTTGCAACTGTATTGAACCATAACCTTAAATCTTCAATTTCAATTTAGTTTTACGGCCACAGCTCCAGGACTATCCGGCCGGGTGATAGAATATCTATCCTTTTTTCTTCTTCAATCTAAGACAAGAGAAGCTCGTAAAAGCGTCCGACTCAAAGTCGTTTCTCTTGAATATCTGTATGGTTTTTCAATTTAACAAAAAAAAATTTCTTATATCAATCAGAGAGCTTCTCCCACGCTGGTAGCATCCGGCTACATAGGGCCTGGTTACACCCGTGACAACGTGAAAGGCCTTTTAAAAAATATTATCAATCAATCTTCTTCTCCCACGCTGGTAGCATCCGGCTACATAGGGTCTGGTTACCCCCGTGACAACGTGAAAAGATTTCTTTTATATGTATTTTTTTTTTTTTTTTTTTAAAATTATATTACTTAAACATAAATTTAACACTTTTGCATCAAAAAATAATAGACTTTTATAAAACGATTACAATTATATCTTCAGAATAACACCTTGGACTCCCGAACAATCAGCCATCAGACAACATACGATGCTGCCTCGACGACAGACCGAACGGAAGTCAACCTTAAATCTTAAATTTTCACTTCATTGTTCTGTTCAGTCAGACAGTTCAGTGCTGTTTTTGTTTTTATAAAAAAACTTAACAAATACATAAAGAAACATATAAAACTAAATTCTGGAAATATATCGACATATATATTACCGATAATTTATCCACTCCCTCGTTTATTTCGATTATAGAGTGCGGCACAAACTAGACTCTAGAATGACTAAATTAGGCAATCTTGCGACTAGTATACCACCTGTTAAGGCCGAACCGCGACTTTATTAGTCCAGTATGCGACTACTCGAACCACTCCATCTTAATCTCCAAAACAACAAAAGTGAAAGCCGCCATGTTGTTAGATAAGAAAATGTTTCGTTCCTAAAATAGCAATTCCTGCTTTTTGAATACATTAACTTGAAATATTTGATCCTAAAAACACGCGGAAACATTTTTTTTTTTTTTTAAGAAATTATTCATTTTTTATTTAAAAAAAATTCAAGAAAATTTTTAAAACTTTCAATTTTTAAGGCCCATTAGTATTTTTCAAGTAGAAACAATACATTTATCAATGAAGTTGTTTGCGTTTAACTTTTTTTGCCTTGGGTAACGAGTTACAGAGTCGGTTAAAGGGTTTCAATAATTATGATCTTCAAACATCCTCCACTTAAATACTTTTGTTTCGTTTTCCTTCACTGCCATCTGACATATGTCTCTAACTAAAATCATAAAAATAATATTTTACTATAATTATCCCAATTTAGGATAAAACGCGACTTAGACGCCATATTAGTTTTGTAGTATTTCTGTGAATTTAGATTTTCAAACAACGTTGCAGTTTGTACTAAATTAGGCTTCTAGCCAACGTCGGTATCCAACGTCGTTTCGACCCAAAAATTATTCTCCAAACTAGTGCAGACTAGGGTTGGCACGAGGTTGTGCCGACGTTGCGCCCCGACGTTTGGTCGCGTGACACAACGTTGTCCCGACGTCCAAATGCTGCTTGGGTTCACACACCGGTTCAACTACGTACCTACAACGCGCAACGTCCTGTTTCCGAATAGAGACGGTTCATTACATGCGAAAATGTGTTGGTACACGGAAGGATCCAAGATCTGACAGGAATTTAATGCAGCAGTCGAAAGACTGATATTTACCACAGTCTTGGAAAACACACCACAGTTTTCCAAGCTGAGTTATATGCTATTGAAACCTGTGTGCATCTGCTGGTAGAACGGCAATACACCGGGAAAACAATATTTTCGGATATTCAAGCCGTATTGAAGGTGCTTGAGGCAACGAAAAGCACGTTTATGACGATTCTTCACTGTAAAAAACTACTCAATTTATTAGGAGAAGGTGGTTTAACTCCCCTCGTAAACATTCTACATTCTAAAACAGCTATTAAATTGAAGGATTTTAAGGACATGTTTCAAAAAGTTTAGTTTGAAATGTTGAAAAAGTAATAAAACTTCAAAAATCAGTGCTATCATATTCATAATTATACTTACACATACTTCATTAACATTTTGTGCAGATAGGGCAAATACGTCATGTCGAGAAAAAAAACGGCCTCAGGCTGGCTTGGAAATAACGCAATATCGATCTTTATTTCCAAGCTAACTCTGACGCCGTTTTTTTATTGGAAAGTATATATTGCCTAAATTATTTTTTTGATCACATGCCCACTATATCAAATTACATTCAGATACCAATAACACAGAATTTTCCTATACGAAATTAAAAAAAATAATCTGAAATTATAAGCTTTATTTGAACTACATTTCTTTTGTGCATTACCAACAACCTTCACCGTATTTTCTCGGTTGCATTGACTTATTAGATGCACCTTGGAGAGCAGTGAGTCTTGTTCCATTTTTTTTTTGAAAACACTCTTTTATTAAAGCAAGAGTACCTTGAGCGTACTCGTCCGCTTTTATTACATACCCAACACCGATAGAATAAAACTTACTGCAAATTGGAGACAGGTATTCCGATGTTTGCGTTTCGGATTATTGTATTGTTGTTATCACGTAAGTGTAAATAAATCTGCCGCTTCTCTCGGTTGCGATAATAGTCTCGATTTACGAAATCGTCGGGTCGGTGTTAGAACAGTGCCACCGGAAGATAAAGCTGGCCGGAAATGACGTCGACGTCGATGACGATAGGTGTATTAGTGATGGTGTTGGGGTAAGTCTAGACTAAACGCTTCTAATGTATGTAGGTTGTGTAATGTCAAGGTTGACGCTTCTACCTTTTCAATATTTCTGTTTATATTTTGAATTTTACATTGACCTATTCCTTGTTTTTTGCTAAAATTTTAGTTTTAATATTATTTTATAGTCAATGGTCAATGTCATACTTAACAGCTTCTATGCATATTGACAAGCTTCAAATATTTTTTGCTTTGTATGAAAGCGAAAAAATATGAATTTATGATTAGAAGATTAGTCTATACTTTTGTGACCGGTTTATTACTTAAAAAAACTGTAGATTTTTCCGCCAAAGATTCAAAAAAAAATGAAAGTGAAATACTACTAGTTCTATAAAATAAAGTTGTTTAGCCAACACAAATCACTTAACAATTCAAGGGGTGTAGTTTCCTCTGCCTTAATTAGCAAACGAACAGGTAAACTATTCTTCCAAATCAAATAGAACATCCTGAAACGATAGGTGTTTTTTCTGGGTTAAACAATTTTGGCGGTTTATAATTATTTAGAATTATTTCAGAAGATTGTATCCGTGTAGGTATTTGAAAACAAGTGACATTTACAAAATATTTATTTTTTAGTATTCTGTTTCAATAAGCAAGTAATTCAGGTGTTTTGTTAGAATGTTTTAGTACAGGGTGGGTCAAATTCGACGCTTTTAAATGGAAACACCCTTTTCTATACGAGATAGACAAAAACTAATATCGGTGTCTGGGGCTCAATTTTTGTCAAAAACATGATGGTGAAAACCGCATATCGATATCTGTTACCGTTTCGGAGTTACGGGGTGTTTTTCAAAAATATGCATTTTTAACAAATCGCTGTAACTTTTTTGCTATGGAAAATTTTGTATTTTTATGAAAACATTTCCAAAGCATCTTTTTACGTAGAATCTAATGGTTTAAGTATAATTTTTTTAAAACTAATAATTTAAGAATTATCAACAGAAAGTTTGATTTTTTATATGGGACACCCTGTATATTTTTAATTTATTGAAAAGAATTTAAAATTACCTTTCCAAAAATATAACACACTTAATATTTTGCTCGATTCCTCTTCGAGATATAGAGTATATAAAAATTAGCCCGCTTTAAATAAGTAGGCTTTGAACGGCACCGGCTGTAATGCAAAAAAATTCTAGCTGTGAGCATCAATTAAAACGAAAATAATATTTGCTATGAGAGATGCAGAACTTTATAACAATTTAAAGTATAATTAACCAACATCAACACATTTAAACTATATCTAATAACAATAAAAATAAATAGCAAACCAAGACATGAGATTTTGCTACAGGTGTATCACATATCTTCTGTTATGGACAGACGGGGCAGTTTTTGAACATTTCTCGCGGAATTCATTAACTCAGTAGGAGTGAAAGATACCCTCTCATAACTGCTAAGTATTTCTAATCCTTGTCTAGATTATACAGAAGAATAAGGAACCTTTATTCTTCCGCAAATATATCCATAGGATTAGATCCATGGGCACTGAGTCAGGCGGCCTCGACGGCCAACGGCTGGAGTCTTGGTTAGCTATTCAATTATTCTTGAAATTGGCTGCAAAAATTTGCTGATAACTTCAGCGTTCTGTTAGGTTAGGTTAGGTTGTAGTATATTGGAAAAATATGTTTTCGAGTTCCATTAAGGGCATATCATCAATAAGGGGTCCAAAGCCTACTAGTAAAAAGTGGCGAACTTTTAGAAATTCTGTATTTCGAAGGGGATTATAACAAAATATCAAGTGCGCTATATTTTTGGAAAGATAATTTTAAATTCTTTTCAATTAATTAAAAATATAGAGGGTGTCCCAAATAAAAAATCAATTTTTCTGTTGATAACTCTTAAATTATTAATTTTAAAAAAATTATACTTAAACCATTAAATTCTACGTAAAAAGGTGCTTTGGAAATGTTTTCATAGAAATACAAAATTTTCCATAGCAAAAAAGTTACAGCGATGTGTTAAAAATGCACGTTTTTAAAAAACACCCCGTAACTCCGAAACGGTAACAGATATTGATGTACGGTTTTCACCATAATATTTTTGATGAAACTTGAGCTCCAGACACCGATATTAGTTTTCGTCTATCTCTCATAGAAAAGGGTGTTTCTATTTAAAAGCGTCGAATTTGGCCCACCCTGTACATGTGAAATTATTAAAATTTTAGATTACATTTTTTTTGATTTTGATAATTCTTTACAAAAAAAAAGTTTGAACAGTGGTTACTTATATTTAAAAACTTTTCATGAATATGACATCAGTCATTGGGAATTTTTGCTTGGAAAAAAGTCCGGAAATTTTGCAACTTTGCAGGTTTATAGGTTTTGGGGTCCCTAACTTAAAATCCATAAAATGCACATTTTCAGACTTGCCGCCGGCTCCGCCATCTTGCCAAGATGGCGCCCAAAATCGGTATTTTGGGAATATCTCGAAAACTATGAGTTTTTCGCGAAAATTTGAGGAGAGCAAAATTAAAGAGAATAAAATTTTGTATAAAAAAAGGTTTTATGAAAATTTTCGCTAAAGTCAACCGTTTAGGCACAAAATCCCTGGAAATTTTACAATTTTGCGTAAAATATGATATATTATTATGTATAGTCGATTTTCCGAAATCAAATGTCGATTAGGGTTCACTAAAACTAGTTTTAGTTTAGTTTCTTCAATTTTGTCATAAAACAGTGGCGTATCATTAATTCGGTCATTAATTTATGAATAATTAATTTTAATTATTGAAAATGTGTACATTGTTTTCACACTACCCAAGAGATAAAGTTAAAGTACATGGCGCGTTTATGTTAACATGGTCTCCCCTGAGGTGTACTCCACTAGATAAATTAAAGACTTTAACTTATCTGCACAAGCCCGGCCCGACGGATCTGGCTCATTGATGTCAAAGTCGATCGTGTCTGCTGTGCTGGGCTCATCAGGGTGGTCTCTCAATACGTCCAACTCTTCATCTTCAGCCGCGAGAGGGATATCTACAGGCAAGTCCAACTCGTCTTCATCGGATTCGTCGAGTGACACTTCAGTGACGCTGTCACAGGATTTCCCATTGCAGTATGCACAAATCATTGAACATTTTAATCCTGCTTTTCTGCATCCGCAGGCTTTACCATAGTTGTTGGTTTTGCATTTACAGGATAAAAATGCCAACAGGGATTTTGGAGCTGGATCTTTCAACGTTGTGACTGGAGTAATGCCTGTTTTTATTTTCTTCAAACCCCATTCTTCGGCATCTTTGGTACAACCAGACCAATGCTGACCTGGTTGTAAGTTCGCAATGAATGCTGTCCAGCACGACAATGAATTATTCATAAATTAATGAGCGAATTAATGAGACTCCACTGTTTCATGACAAAATTGAAGAAACTAAATTAAAACTAGTTTTAGTGAACACTAATCAACATTTGATTTCGGAATCGACTATAGTATGTATATCATACTTTACGCAAAATTGTAAAATTTTCAGGGATTTTGTGCCTAAACGGTCGACTTTAGCAAAAATTTTCATATAACCTTTTTTATAGGAAATTTTCTTTAATCTTGCTCTCTTAAAATTTTTACAAAAAACGCATAGTTTTCGAGATATTTACAAAATACCGATTTTGGGCAGTGAATGAGCAGTGTGTGTCAATAGATTTTACACTTTTGCCTTTTTTTGGACAATACAAAGTTTCGAACCGGTCACCCGTCCATCCACTAGTATCGCCTTACGTCGCTTAACTTTGGTGTTCTAATGGGAACCGGTGTTTCGACGTAGCTAGGCCGTTGCCCCAAAATATAATTACATTTCATAATTCATGCATAATCATTGTCTACCTCTTTCAAAAGAAGATATATTTTCTTTGCCTCTATATTTTTGGTTTCCCGTAATGCTAAATTTATCTATACAGGGTGTCCCAGAAATAATTGCAGATATTCTAACAGGTAGTATATTTCGGCCCCAGAAACACATCTATGAGATTTTTTGCGAAAAAAAATTGTTGAAAATTTCATATTTTTCCTTGACATTTGGGAAATTTTAAAAAACTTTTTAGTGCTACTTGTTTATTCGCCTGAGATTTCTCTACGATGTAATTAAACCTTGCAGTGTTGCCGCCTCCTACATGATCCATATTCAACATATTATTTGTATTCACTGTATTTTTAAATTGGTATACAAAAAATTACGAGTGTTAATTCTATTCATATCAGTGTCTGTTACTAACAATTCTAAACAAACCACTACTATTACTACTTATAAAATAACTCTTAACATTGCCATATTACGAAGTAGTTTCAATAAAAAAAAATTGTTTGTACTACGAACGACCCACAACTCATTCTAGGCCTTTCAGATTTCACGAATTATAGCATATATATTTCTTTTGACTATCTGGCAACACAGAGCATGGAATAAGCTGAAAAACCTCTTGCCGGTTATCGCCAGCGGTTTTCAAATTGTTGCCATTATTTTTTTTTAATTTTCAAAGTTAAATAACTCGGTTATTTTCGATTTATTTTAAAAATGGTAAAGAGAAAAGATGTTTTTTTTTGGCCAGATCTACCACCCCTTTTAAAATATCTGTATTTATTTCTGGGACACCCTGTATAACTATTGATAATTATAAATAAAAAAGCAGGTTGATAATTTTTAATCTCTTTGCACTTTATCTGTTATATCATTAAAAAAAATTAAAGTTTATATAATCAAATTTTTGGAATCCATTATTTGCTGTAGGATTTAAGGTATTATCAAAGTGTAAATGTATTATAATACACTCGCAATTATAAACACAGCAAAAAATTAAAATCTTCCATTAATATTATTTATTTTATACATTATATTATAATATTACCCGAAGGTATATAAATATTATTTTTTTCTTGGAGATCTGATTAGTCGTTACTGGTATAAAACAATATCTCTAAAATACATACATCGTATTTGTTGTCTCATTAACTTAATTAACTATGGTGATCAGACTAAGCAGGAGCA